CCTGCAGCCAAAAAAAAAAAAAACCAAAAATACAACGAACGAATTCACAACTGTAAGATGAACCCGGAAGAAATATTTTACTAAACGCCGAAGAAGTGTTAAAAAATTGATTACTTGGATGTGTTTCCGCTCTCGAAATATGTTTAGAGCTTGTTGAATAATATCATGAGGTTTAATTAGAAGCACTTTTCGTATGGTAGCGCACACGCAATTATCGTCTCTTCCAGAAATTTCGTCCTCACGACTGCGGTACCAAACCTCAACGTGAAGATTAGACCCTAAAAGTTATTCTTACTTCTCAGACACCGCAAAGGCACGATAAAAGATAAGCCTGTTTTACGAAAAGATTAGTACTGACAGCATCGTACTAGAAATCCCGATAACCAAAAGTAAATAACTGAGAAACCTCTAATTTTTGACTTCAATTTTAACGGGACATCTTCGTCGTCTTCACGCAAAGACTCCTCGACAAATGCGTAATGATCACAACCCGTAACTCTTCTTATGGCGAGTGAGCGCTGAGTGACGCGAAACAGCTCTAGACGAAAGACCATGTCCTCGTAATTCAGATGTTTTTCAATTTCAGGTATGGGATGACCGATGAGATTACCTACAACCGAAGATCTATACAGTCCTTCAACAAGTCAAATCCAAAGTGTTTTTTCCTTCTAGCAGACTTGGTAACTGGTAACAAAACTTTGATTGATGAAATAGCTTACCGACTTTATAAAATAACACTTTTTCTTCACGACAACCTTCCAATTTGCGCAACACAATCAGTGGCACAAAAAGTTTCAAAAATGGGATTGTTTTTGATTCATCTAACAGCTCCTTTATTTCGCCAGATTTGCCAACTGTAAGACAAATGTAGTCATCGGATGGCAAAAGTAATGAAGACAGTGGAAGCCTGCAAAAATTAATTTAGCAGTTGAAACTCATTTCGCAGCAAACTGTTTTGCAGAAGATTAGCAGATTTAGCTGTCGAAAACTACAACAACAAAAC